CTTCAGCACTTTTAGGACTAATATAACTCGGAGTAATATTATCTTTTCAAAGTTTGGGACTGAAAAAAGAATCAGTGCTTATTCCTTATTCCTTATTCCTATAATCCAAGCTTCAACTTATCCAAGAATAAAGAATATTGATAAGGTCACTGCATATAATAATACGTGTTATGTATACATGGCATATATTAATGGGAATACGTCTTTTCACAAAGGGAGAAACGGTTGAGCCAGAACCTCTATCATTCTATCTCGTATTTACCCGATCCTATTATGTTGAATGCATGCCCTATATTTTAGTTTTTGCCAGACAAGCTGGTATAATAATTCTACGTTTTGATGTTAAATCGTCTCACTTTCCTGGTACGCATTCTTGTCAAAACTGAAATTTCGGGCTTCATAATTATAATCTGTTCGCCCTTTATTATTATGTATCACGTATTGATACGATTCGCATATAATGTCTACAAACACTAATTGAAAAGCATGTGCTCTCATACTAATACCTGACAAGGGAAAATCCTATCCGCGCGCACCACAAGTCAGTTTCGATATTAATATGTATAAAAGTTTGCTAAGACGTCTTATAAATTCTATCACTGATACAAGTGCTTGGCACCCAAAGTATTAGTAAAATACAGAACATTAGTACAGCCGATGAAATGTTTCAATAAGCTGCATTACTTTTATTTACGTGATGTAGAGACATTGGGGCTTTCACACCTATTTACTCATTATTGATACCGATGACTATGCTATATTAACCAGTTATTTATACTCAAAAACAGATAACGAAAACGGAGGGGGAAAGCCCGTCATTCATCCCACTACAAAATAATCAAGAAATTCATTAAATAAGTCCAGTTCTGACAGAACATATCATCCATCATTCTACTCTCCCATTCCCTACCTTTTTCGCTACCATTCCATCAGGTGGTTTGGTTTCAACCTTATCCTTCTTGACTTCCTCCCAATTAGTGCTCAAACACGTCCCATTGCTTTCAACATAACTTTTCATCATTGCACGTCTGGAATCGTCGTCAGCATCGCGATACAGTTGTTGGAAAAGAGCATTGAGAGCTGCATCCCCTTCTGGGGCATCTTTATCTTCAGCAATTTCCTTTTCCAATGCATCCCAATTCTTGGCTTTTCGGGCTGATGATGGATATGACAGCTTGCCTTTTTAAAGAAAAGCGTTTAATTAATAAGCAAGTGCAAGGGCAAGGGCAAGGGCAAAAAAAAAAGTCAAAGGGAATAAGAGATGGAAAGAGACATGGCGGCTAGGTTAATTAGACCTGGGCATAGAAATGCCATACACACACGCACTACGCCTAAACCATCCTCGGCACGTCCTCAACTCACCACCAGAAGTTTCCATAGACACGGCCAATTTATCCTCGCCTTCCAATACGCCCCACTTCAATCCAACGCTCGCCTTCTTCAACTTAATTTCTATCTTTGTCGATAACAGTTCATATCTGCTCTCGCTTGGTATGATTTCATGCGCAAGTGGATCTAATTCAAGAGAATATTCCGATGCTGGGAGTTTTACCGAAACTGAAAGCTACGCAAAGCGATAGAATTATTGGAAATCGGATGCAAGTTTTTTCAGCTAAACGCACATGTTTAACAGCATTTAAATGTAGTTAGAGCAACAAAAAACCAAGTACACATACAGATTGTTTGCCAAAGTTGATGCTGGCTGCATCTTCCTTGGTGTTCTTGATAAAAATGCTGACGGTAACATAATTGTCATTCTGGAACCATTCATGTCTATAAAAAAGTTGTTAGAATTGTCGTAGTGTCGTTGTGTTTATAGACGGGAGACATTGGGTTTTAACCTGCCTGATACGACTCTGCGATAGGAATTCCATGAGGGGCGGCGAAAAAGATACTTTTACTGTTCGGTGTATAGATGATTTGCACCATTATGACCAATGATAATGCTGCGCAGCCTATCGGAGATTTGTTATAAAAACAGCCCGATTTACTTTTAGACATCAAACACAACGCAATAATAAATATCGGCAAACAATGAAAAAAATGCTGACTATTTGGTTGCGATTGTGTTAAAGTAGCAAAATGCGAACTAAAAGTTCAACGGATGCAACTGTACTGTGCCCCAGTTTAAATCATATTTCCAGATTTTGTGTATCAAAGTCCTAAATACTCATTACGTATAGAATAAGATTGTTTGTGAAGGCTTAGATTAGATACGACAGTCCGATATAACAGAAAAAGCACTAATTCGTTATATGGCTTTCACGGTGTAGTCGGTTTGTATACTTGGGAATTCTGACAGTTAGAACTTGTTTTGTGACAACTTATGTTACATACTGCTAGTACAGCGGCGGCATGCACGTTTACAATACACGTGATTTGTCTACCGAGGCTTTGTGTCTTTTGCAACCTTCCCTAACGATAATTTTCGTAAAAAAAGTATACCATAAATGAAGCTAATTGTGAGGATAGTTTACTTCTACAAGATTAGTTCGTTGACTATGGGTAAATTACCAGCACATGTATCGTTTTATTTAGAGCATATTGATCAGCTCTTCAATACTTGACGGTTAAAACAATGTCTCCAACAACGTCGACGAAAAGTCTTGTTAAAACATACATAAAACAATTACTATACACAAAACGATTAGCTCTTCGGGCAACCATAAAGATAAACATAAAAACTTTGAGCATTAGAACATTACATGGACATAGAGTTTAGTAGACAATACATTGAATGGCACGATAGTAGTTTCAAATAAAGTCTCGCGTACAAAATTTTCAGCACAAGCACTAAAACTTTGCACCATTGATTAACTTTATACTCGTACAATGTATTATTAATTGTCAAGCTGTTCTGATGACTGTTCGAATCAAAAGCTAATGTATTCGACTTTGTTATTTAAAAGTAAGTTTTTAATAATAACACTGTAGCTAACCAAATGCCTATAATACACTTGTTCCAACCAATTCGCTCAACACCAGATGGAACCAGTACTGTAAAAGTGGTGCCACCTGACGTACTCGATCCACCAGACCCATCAGCGTTAGTAGGACTTGCTGCTGTAGGAACAAGTGTAGTACCCGCAGGAGTATATGGTGGGCCACCTGACGTACTCGATCCACCAGACCCATCAGCGTTAGTAGGACTTGCTCCTGTAGGAACAAATGTAGTACCCGCAGGAGTATATGGTGGGCCATATGTAGTACTCGTGAAGTAGTTATACTAATTTACAACAAGACACCAAGTAACCGTTTGGTCAGATATAGGATTAGTTTTGACACATACTTTGTGTTGGAAAATGAATATCTTACCATACGGTCTGTGATGCCAACCGTTGGGCATTGAGCTTTTACTAAGCTTGACTAACAAAGATAACATTATTAGGAGAATGTTAACAGACGGCAGTGTTCTTTATAGGTTAAGCATTTACCGTTAAGATAAGAAAATATATAACGCCTAGAAGTAAACGTTTCATCTTCAATTAAAGAGCAAACGGCTCTCATAACATTCGTTTTTATTACTACTACTATATTAATATATATCGTACTAGTTGCACAATAATGTAGTGAACCCAGCTGTTGCAGTATTTAAATCTGTTTGGGGATCACTTATTTTATTTTTGTACTATTTTTATTCTATTTTAATTCTATTTAAGAAGCGATTGATAAGTGAGTTAACCCCCGCATTAGTAGATGAATTGCGACATATAAATTACCCACTATAATAATAGTAAGTTTGTTCGTGGATGGCTAAATTTTATTCACAGCAAAAGTAGAGAATATTTCGAAACAAATTAATAACTCGTGACAAGTTAATTGCGTGCTTCTTTTTTGAAAAATTTTATTCTATTTTACTTTTTTGATACCCTAACATTTTGACTGTTCGTCTAGTCAACGAATTAGATGCATTTGAATGATAAGAGATAAGCGACCAGTAGGGCCTGTTAAAATCTTTTTATCTCTAAACATTTTGATTTCCTGAAGCGAAATTTTGTGTGATTCACTGGCTAAATCAGGAAACCTTGGAAGAACAATACAGCAATAATCAGAAACAACACATAGCTAATAATAATACTAACATTGCCAATAAAAATTTATTTCTTGTTATTGTGAGTACTCAACAATATTAGTAAGTTTTTGAAAAAAATCATATATTGTCCGCTAAAGGAACAGGGTAAACCATTAATCTCATTATTATTGTCTTCCAAATACAAACGATTACTGATTACCACACCAAATTTTTGTTTCAGAAATGAGATAGAAAGGCCATAAATTTAATACAGAGTCATGCTCCACAATACCACAGGTGGTTTTCTTTTGACTGTTTGCTTCCTCTAACCAATGAGTATAGCGCAGAACGAGGGAAGCTGTATTAGTTTGTAAACTGAGAAATAACTGAAGGCAACATAAACTTGCCATATATCATCAGCTGTTAAGGACACATGAGGTAGTAATAGTGTACTGTGAGAGATGCATTCAACATTATCTTCAATAACAGAGCGAATATTTGTGAGCGACTTTGTTTATGACGCCGCGTTTATTTAGTAAGTGTTTTTTTAGTAATTGCAATGGTTTGAATTGATAATTCCGCCAGACGTATAGGAAGCGGAAAATAATTGTAATCGCTATTATTCTTATTCACTTATTCTTGGAAAGTTTGATAAAATGCATAGAAACGGTGGAAGTT